TTTACATATCACTCCCTGGCCCACCAATCCCCAAGGATGAAACTTCTGCTCAGAACAGCCAAGACCATAGGGCCAGCCCCACCACAAGAAGTGACGCCCCCTCACTGACCCTGTGGTAGTTACATAATCTGCTGTCAGTTTGAGACTTAAAAATGAAGGGTTGGAGTTTAGCCTGTCAATTAGGTCAAAGCTTGATGACCTCCTTTGGAGACTCAGATAAATAGCTTGCATGACGGGACACACGACTTCCTGAAAAACAGTCCTGTTGACAAGACACATGGAGCTACGCTAGAGCCCTAGAGCTAGACCCCTGCCACCGCTGAGATGCTTCTACCGCCACTGGATCCACAAGAATTTCCACCCAATGGCCTGCGATCTTCCTACATTTGGCATCATTGTATGTGTTGTGTGAGTCTGAAGAGGAATTTATAGATTGGTATTGGACACATGGGCTAATATAGGACTTATGGACTTGATCTGGACTGGGCTGAGATGTTTCTTAATATATATAAAGCTCTTTCTTACACACATATACGTGGTTAGGAATTTGTTTCTCTAGGCTACCCAGACTAACACAGACCCACAGTGATGCAGGGGACAGGACTGGAGACACAGTGTAGGAACTGTACCTGATCTGACATACACCCCCCCCCACACACACACACACACACGGGGTAAAACACAAAGGAAACACAACATAGCACCAAGGGGAGCAAAGTAACAAAGTCCCCAAGGAATTCTGAAAATAGACTTCAGAGTAGGAGGACAGGGCTTGGCACCTCATTAGACTTGATCAGAATACCTACAGAAGGGTCAGCAGACCGACATGGAACTACTTACAGGCCTCTTTCTTTTTTCCCATGTCTAGCTGTGTAAGATAGGCAAGATAAACAATCCTGAGAAAACAACGGGACCGATGGTTCCTGGGGGACAGGAGAGAGGGGGAGGTGAGGAAAAGGGAGGGGGAAGCCAACACAATCAGGGACAAGGGAACAAAAAGAGATCTAAAAAATGATGGTCAGGAGGGTATAGAACATCTAGTGGAGTTTGATCAAATGCAATGTAGTAGCTGAGAGGAATTACTGAGAGTCAAATGAAGGTCGAACATGATGGTGGGAGAAGAGTAGAAGGAAATAGACTACAGAAGAGAACGAGGAGGCACAAAACATTTATAGAGGTATAAATATAGGCATGTATATATGTAAATATATTAATATAGAATGATAGGGATATAGGTCTTTGTACATATATTTATGTTTAGTATCAAGTAGCAGATGGACATTGGACCTCTACTCAAGTCCTCCCTCAACGCAAGAATACTTTGTTCTAATAACCAGGCATTCTGTGATGCTGACCTTCCCCGACAAGATCGCTGAAGACGAAATGGGTGCATAAGCAAATGTGATGAAGAAAGCTGATGGTGCCTTGCTACTACAAGACATAGCGTCTGGGGTCTTATAGGCTTGAATATAAACAAGCTGCCATCTAACTGAGAAGCAACAAAGCCCATGTGGAAAAAGCACCATCAGGCTGTGTGATCACGAGGTGTTGACAGGATCAGGAATCTGACACCAGAAGACCCAAAACAATCATATCAATGCGAACAAGGGGGGTCAGAGTGGAGACCCAATGCTCATCTGTAGACAACTGGACATCCTCTCACAGGAGGGCCACAAAGGAGGGACGAGCCAGCCAGAGTGCAGTATAGCACTGACCAAACACACAACATTCCTCTAGTTCTTTGATGCTACCCATACCTCAACAATCATGAACTCAGTTCTACCCCTTACAAATCCAGCTAAACAGTACATACACTGATACAAATAAGAGCTCTCTACACACGTAATCCAGGACAGATAAACCCCTCAGGAACAATAATGGGGGTAGCAATACCATGAGGGTAAGGGTAGGTAGAGAAGGGGGAAACAGAGGGACCCAATCACAATGATAGACATATCACGCATACACGGACGAACAGCATAAATGTGGGTGAAGGGAGACAGCGGACGGTGTAAGGCATGAACATAATTATAATTTATCAAGAGTTCATGAGGGTGGAAGGGTGG